CCTGTTTCATCTTGAATATGTATTTTTCAATCGAGAAAATTCTTGATTTTTAAGAAGTTGAAGAGGGAGAACAGAACAATAGTTTTAAGGGAGAAATTCAAAAAATGGTCAAGCTTCAACAAAAAAAAAGATTCTGTTGTAGGGCTCTTTTTTTTCTTCTCGTGTCAGGGCAGCCAGTCAGTTATATTACATTTGTAACAGAACAAAGCAAACAAACAGAGAAAATACAAAATGTGTGAGTTTGGTAGTTGATTAAATGTCCTTTGACCAGTATCTGGCCACTTGGAGTGCTTCTGGTGTTGCTGCAAGAAGGTCCTCTATTGTGCTCTTGAACCATGTTCAACCATGACTACATTTCTTTTTGAGAACAATTGAACCATTGAGCACATATGAGAGCTTTACTCCAGGTTGCCCTGCTCTTTAGGATCATAAGTAAGCTCTGAGCACAGGGTGACTTTGCTGTCTTTGGCTATTAGCACATATAGTTAAATTAAATACAAGACTGTTTTTATTTACAATTAATTCAAAAACAAATGAGTCTTGTGAATCCTGATTAAGATACATACATCTGTAGCCTGTGTAAAATGTTAAGAAATGTGCCCAGTGTTGGCTAGCTATACGCAGTCCTGCTCCTGCTGTTGGAATCGTTTCCTATTTGGTTTCAGTTTTTGATACATCACAGGCGGCTTAATATTTTTCAAATTTATTATCATTGCATTAAAGTTCATTAATAAACTATATCAAGAGGGGGGAATGTTGTGCTTGATCACAAACCGTGTGTGTGTGTTTTATGGTTATGGGATTGCAGAAGGCACTGAGTCACTGCCAGGCAAGTCTATCACAACCGGTGTAGTGCACACTGTACTGCTTGTTGTTGGCAAACCCCGGAGATGGACAGTGTTGTGGAAGCCCTTTCTGTGTCCTTAGCAAATGCTGCAGTTTTGAAGAGGTCCAACTACAGGAGTAAGCTGGGCCAAATACAACCGATTTTGGAGCATTCATCCAAGTCGCTAATGAAGAAAGGTTTATGGGTGGGGTTGAAAAGGGAGGTCAGTCAGGAGTGCTGGTTTCATGTAGTTCTTGGCAGGGAGTCATGGGATCCCTTTTGAGGCTTGTCCCTCGTGCTTGCCGTTTTTAACTTGAATAACAGGCCTTCCATCGTGTTCTTCTCTTTCTCACAGGCTCAGTGAGTTGAATGTGATCCTCCCCATCTCTGAGAACCTTTTTGTTTTGGAAAGAGAGGTGGCTGCTGCAGGAAGTGACGGGGTGGGAAGGGAGCTGGCCTGTTGCTCTGGTTGCTGGGTTTCTCCCAGTAAGTCTGGGCCCCGCCGCCTTCAAGAATCTCTCTTTAAAATAAATCCAGACCTCCAGACCCCTAATGTTGAGCCAGCAGCTGTAGAAGATAGCCGACTAAAACCGCTGCCGCCGCCAGACCCCATCCTGCCTGACACACACCTCAGTTTTCAGGGTAACACTTCCTCTTTTGTTTTTTGTTTTGTTTTTTTTAAAAAAAATAAACTTTACAAGGAAAAGTCACTCTGCTTTTTAGTTAGAGTTGGAACATTCCTCGGACAAAGGTGTCGGTGTTTCAGACAACCCCTTCCCTGCCCCTCCATTTCTCCACTGCTGGGACTGATCTGTCGTGTTTTTTGTCTGTTCAAGAGGAAACAAACAATTGTATGCTCAATTTTTACTTTTTACTGCTCGTTTTTAACTTCACAAATAAATGATAACAAAACATCCCCCTGTGTCTGCTGGGTGGTGTCTGTCTTTCTCTTTCTGTCCATAGGGTTTTTTGAAGCTGATGTTTGTTCACAATATAGCTGTTGTAAAAGCCTGATAATGGTCATGAATTAAGAGCTTCCTGTGTTTTTATAGTTTGAGCAGGCATTTGTGCATTTTTTTGTTGAATAAAATGCTTTTTTGTTTTAAAGTCTCCGATGCAACTGTGTGTGTTTCCAAAGGTAGGGCCCCCAGGAGCTGCTCTCCTTTCGCCAAAGGGATCTGGGGAAGAGCGACGCATTGAAAGCCTTGGCTAATGCTGTGCAAAGATGAGCTGCCGGTTGGTGGGATGGTTCAGGTGGAATTGGCTGGCTTTGGGGGCTCTTTTGGACCCAGCTCAAAAAATGTTGAAACTGCTGCTGTCTTAAATTACATCGGGATGGGCAGTTTATAAAAGTGAATTCTCTGATTGACTCACACTTTTAAAATAGGACCAGTTCACAGTTCCTCACATTGTCGGGAGGCTGGACTATAGTTTGTTGTTGTTGTATATCTTCAAGTCATTTGAGACTCAGGATGACCCTAAAGCAATCCAAACAGTTTTCTTGTCAAGATTTCTTCAAAGGTGACTTGCCTTTGTCTTCCTCTAAGGCTGAGAGAGTATGACTTGCCTAAAGGCACCCAGTAGGTCAGTGATGGGCAACCTTTTGAGCTTGGTGTGTCAAAATTTGCCAAAAACCTGAGCATAACTTGGGTGGGGTGTCAACTTCGAGAAAAAAAACATAATTTTGCAATATTTATAATTTAAATAAGAAAAATGTATATTCCATGCTGAGTTATGGAGTGAACAATGCTCAAACATGCAGATGTTAAATTTGTAGAGCCTTTTACAAATTTAAAGATGGAATTAGATTGGCTCTTATAAGGTGTACTTCTCTGTATGCGGCCGCATGTGGCCGCGTGTCATCAAAAATAGCCATGCGTGTCAGTGCTGTCACACATGCCATAGGTTCACCATCACGGCAGTAGGTTCAGAGCTACAGTCCAAGGTTCAACACCACTTTCTGAATTCCTTCCCTTTTTCGTTTCTCTTCTACCTACCTTTTGTCCTTTTCTCCCTCCTTCCCTCTTTTTCCTACCTACCTTTCTTGCTTTTTCTTTTCTATTCCTTCCCCCTCTTTTTTCTACCTCCTTTTTCCCTTCTCTTCTTTTCCTATTTCCTACCAACCTACCTTTATTCCTTTTCTCCCTCCTTCTTTCCCTCTCTTTTTCCTACCTATCTTTCTTACTTTTTCTTTCATTGTTTCCTCCTCCCCTCTCTTTTTCCTACCTCTTTTCTTTCTTTCTCCCTTTCCTGGGCAAAACCTCTGGCGGGCCATATCCAAATCAAGGGCTGTAGTCTGAGGACCCCTGCTGTAGAGGCTGCCAAAATCGCTGTCTGGTTACAGCTATCTCTCTGGCAAGATGAAATATTCTAACTATTTCCCCAAGTTCTAGAACCATGGTTCTCAACCTGTGGGTCCCCAGATGTTTTGGCCTACAACTCCCAGAAATCTTAGCCAGTTTAACAGCTGTTAGGATTTCTGGGAGTTGAAGACCAAAACATCTGGGGACCTACAGGTTGCGAACCACTGTTCTAGAAGTAGTCTTAGATCTTTCTAACCTTAAAAGGGAGGTCCTTCTTTGTACAGGTTACTTCACTTGGATTGCCTCTGGCCACATCATAAGAGCTGATATAGTGGCAGCTTTGGAGTCCAGCTGTTAATGGCCATGCCCTGATCTTGGAAAAGTAAAAACACACTCCTCAGTTGTTGTTTTTCAATAGTAACCCATTACTGATGAGTAAAGTTACATGAGATGTCAATATGTTAATCTCAATATTACCGTATATACTCGAGTATAAGCCGACCCAAATATAAGCCGAGCCACTTAATTTTACAACAAAAACTGGGGAAACGGATTGACTCAAGTATAAGCCAAGGGTGAGAAATTCCTAAGCTACTGGTATATTTCAAAATGAAAATAGATACCAATAAAATTACATTAATTGAGGCATCAGTAGGTTAAATGTTTTTGAATATTTATATAAAATTGTAATTTAAGATAAGACTGCCCTAGCCTTTTTCAATATAAATGTGCTTATGTGTCCTTCCAATAATAATAAAGACAGTAAAATAATAAATGGAATAATAATAGAGTGAAATAATAAATGGAATAATAACAATCATAGAGTAAAATAATAAATTTAATGATAACACTTATAAAATAAAATAATAAATGGAATAATAAAGTAAAATGATAACTATAATAATAATAGAGTAAAATAATAAATGCAATAATAATAATAAAAGAAGAAGAAGGTTCTTGTGGGTTTTTTCGGGCTATAGGGCCATGTTCTAGTACATGGCCCTATAGCCCGAAAAAACCCACAAGAACCTAGTGATTCCAGCCATGAAAGCCTTCGACAATACAATAATAATAATGACAGAGTAAAATAATAAATAACTTTGACTCGAGCATAAGCCAAGGGGGACTTTTTCAGCCTAAAACAAGGGTTGAAAAACTAGACTTATACTTGAGTATATACAGTACTTGATTTTACAGTGCCCTCAAAGAACCTCTTCTGAAAAGTAACATTTCTAAAACAATTGAGTCAATGCTACTGCTTGTGCAACAGTACTGACATCTAACAGTAGTGTCAAATCAATGTGCTTTTTGCTCCATTTAAAAATATATATGAATAATGCTACTTTTCACATCTTATTTCCAAGCTGTGCCACTGAGTCAATTCTAAGCAACACAGGTTCATATTTTGATGCAATACTTTGTGATAAATTGAACAGTGAGGACTTTGGTTGTGTTCTTCCTATCTAAACATTGCAGAGTTGTTGCCTCTAGGAGTTGCCTTCTTCCTGGGATGGACATGTGATGCTCTTGAGCCTGGCTGAGGTAATGGTGATGTGAAAAGTTGTTTTAAAAATACTTCTTTGCATCCTATTGGATACTCATGCATTTGTCCCTGGATTTATAAAAAAGCTCAGGGCCAGGGACTTTCTTTGCAGTATCCTCCAGCCTGCTTTAACCCTCGCCTATGAAGGATGGCATAACACATGCACATATATTTTTCTGCACGACACCTGTACATGTGCATGAGCCAGCACGTTCAAAATGGCTTTTTAAAGGTGTCTGAAGTTCACAAAGAAAGCTGCAAGCCACCAAGTAATGTGTGTGCAAGTGAAAATCTGCACTGAGACACTTTTCTAAGGAAAACATCCTAATGGACCGACAACTTAAAAGCCTTTATTTTGATGTAGAATTAAATAGCTATGCCTTTGAGGTTGCTCCCTTTAGCACATCGTCTACAACACTGCAGCACTTGTCAAAGACAACTTCTGGGGGTTCCTCTCCGATGACCTGCAATCACAAAAACACAAGAAAGGGTTCTTCGGCAACTCATCTGGGACTGTCGCCCATCCTTTCCATTGTCTGCAGAGGATCCCGAGGCTCACACAATGTGTAAGGCATGAGTTGTAACAGGAACTATCATTAGTTGCACTAGTCAGCAGTAACAATAGGATTTAGGCCCTTCTGTCCTATACTATGAGGAAGAATATAAGTAAAGCAATGATCTACCTCCTGTTAGCTTTCCTCCTGGCATTCAAAAGTATGCCTCTGATTATGGAGATTCAGTGATAGATAGTGCCCATGTGAAGAAGCTGTATCTGATTTAAGGTTATTTTTGGTAAGGGTCTTCGAGAGGCCCTCAGGCCTAAAAAGAGAGCTGGAAACAAAAAAAAATGCACCCAAAGAAGCTGTGATGCAGCAGCTTCTTTGGGTGCATTCGTATGGATTTTCTTCAATTCTTTGGGTCTTGTAGACTCTTTCAGAGTGTTAAGCTTGAAAATTCTGATTTGCAGAGAAACATTACTTATTAGGAGAAAAATCAACTCTTAATAGTCTGTTCCTGGGGTACAGTAACAAGCATAAAGGTAAAGGTTTCCCCTTGATATTTAGTCTAGTCATGTCCAACTGGGGGCTGGTGCTCATCTCCATTTCTAAGCTGAAGAGCCGGCATTGTCCATAGACGCCTCCAAGGTCATGTGGCTGGCGTGACTGCATGGAACTCTGTTACCTTCCCGCAGAAGCGGTACCTATTGATCTACTGACATTTGTGTGTTTTCAAACTGCTAGGTTGGTGGACTAACAGCAGGAACTCGCCCCGCTCCCCGGATTCAAACCAACCTTTCGGTCAACAAGTTCAGCAACTCAGCAGTTTAACCGCTGCGTCATCGGGAGCATAAGGAAGGTTTATTAAAATGGTTGCTTGAAAATAGGGGCAAGGATCATGTAGCCTGCGAGATATTGGTGGAGTTGTAGTTCAACATTTGGGGAGCCACCTGATTCCCACACCTGGCTTAAAGGCTCGTACTTTCAAAACCGTTCTCAGAAACAAAGTCAAAGTTATTTATTGGGATTGTGTGACTTGCTCTACCTTAATTGGTAACAGTATTATGCTCAACAGATTTAAAGCAGAGATGGGCAAGCTCAGTTTACACACACTAAAGACTCATGGCCAGAAGTTTACTATAGGCTTTGAAAAAAGTCTTGAAAGGCACTTCAAAAGGCCTCAGCAGGGACTTCCTTTATCTTAAAAGGAGAATCACTTCTGGGGGCTTCAAAGTACCTTTTTTTCTTTTTTAAAAGGCTAATACAAATTGTGGGCAGGGGCTCTATGAGATCTGCTTCTTGCCTTAGAAGACAAGAGAAGCAATTAGATAATGGGTTGTTGTAGGTTTTTTCAGGCTGTATGGCCATGGTCTAGAGGCATTCTCTCCTGACGTTTCGCCTGCATCTATGGCAAGCATCCTCAGAGGTAGTGAGGATGCTTGCCATAGATGCAGGCAAAACGTCAGGAGAGAATGCCTCTAGACCATGGCCAACAGCCTGAAAAACCTACAACAACCCAGTGATTCCGGCCATGAAAGCCTTCGACAGTACAATTAGATAATGTTTTCAATTGATATTTTGCTCAAAGTCTTGGCTTATGATGATCCTCCAGATGCTTTTGATCAGCATAGCTAGTACCAATTAGTATGAAGCATTTAAATTCCCCTCCATCAGCAGGCCCATAGTATCCTACCTATTAATTGGAAGGATAAATTGCTGTATGCCATTTTCTTACTTATGGCCATCCTAAGACAAATGTATCACAGGGTATTCTTGTTCAGATGAGGGTTTCCCTTTGCGTTCTATCGAAGGTGAAAAAGTGACTCGCCCATTTGAGAAAACATGGCAAAATGTAAAGCATGGGTTTCATAAAGACCGATAAGCAGGAAACTATTCTGAAGAACTGGATATTCAGAAGTACTATAAACATCCAATATTATTGTAACCAAACCCATCTTTGTTGCAACTACGAGGGTTGAATGAAAGTAATGCCTCCACCTTCATAACTCCTCAACAGATGGCAGCACTGGTATGCAGCAGGTACTAGCTCAGTGTTTCTCAACCTGGGGGTCGGGCCCCCTGGAGGGGTCGCGAAGGGGTGTCAGAGGGGTCGCTAAAGACCATCAGAAAACACAGTATTTTCTGTTGGTCATGGGGGTCTGTGTGGGAAGTTTGGCCCAATTCTATCATTGTTGGGGTTCAGAATGCTCCTTGATTGTAGGGGAACTATAAATCTCAGCAAGTACAACTCCCAAATCTCAATGTCTATTTTCCCAAAACCCCACGAGTGTTTACATTTGAACATACTGAGTATTCATGCCAAGTTTGGTCCAGATCCATCATTGTTGGAGTCTAGAGTGCTCTCTGGATATAGGCAAACTACAACTCCAAAACCAAAGGACACTGCCCACTAAACCCTTCCAGTATTTTCTGTTGGTCATGGGAGTTCTGTGTGCCAACTTTGGTTCAATTCCATTGTTGATGGGGTTAAGAATGCTCTTTGTTTACAGGTTAACTATAAATCCCAGCAACTACAACTCCCAAATGGCAAAATCAATTCCCCCGCCAACCCCAGCAGTATTCAAATTTGGGCATACCAGGTATTTGTGCCAAATTTGCTCCAGTGAATGAAAATACATCCTGCAGATCATTATTTACATGGCGATTCATAATGTTAGGGTTATGGTTGGGGGTCACCACAACATGAGGAACTGTATTAAGGGGTCGTGGCATTAGGAAGGTTGAGAACCACTGTACTACCTTGTTCACTAGACTTTTCTCTACAGTTCCATTTTGGCGGGAAGCCTTAGCATTGAACGGTTGTGTTGTTAAAGTGCAAAGTATCGAATCCTGCGCAGACGGTCAGTCAGTGCGACTTAAGCAACGTGCAGTCATTGAATTCTTGACAGCAGAAGGTGTCACCCCAAAGGAGATTCATCAGAGAATGCAAGCTGTTTATGATGATTGTGTTGATGTGAGTACTGTGCATCGTTGGGCGAGTAAGTTTAAAGATGTTGACGTGACACGTTCTGCTGTCAAGAATTCAACGAGTACACGTTGATAAGTTGTATTGAACGACTGTCTGTGAAGCGTTCCATACTTCGCACTTTAACAACTCAACCATTCAATGCTAAAACTTCACCGCAGTGAATTGTAGTGCCAAAAACTTGCAGTGCCAAATAACAGTGTTATTCCAGGTGAGCTTTGACCAAAACAGAACAGAGTGGGACTATCACTTCCCTCGATCTAGAGCAGAACTTTCCAAACTATATCAGAACACACTAGTGTGTCGGCTGTAGTCCCTAGGTGTGTCATGACACACACACTGGCCCACAAACAAAGGCTGCCTGGTAAGGAGACACAGTCACTTCAAAAACCTCTGAGTAGGAGACTCCACCAGGCAGTCTAGACTAGAGTTGGAAGAGAGCTGCAAAAGGCATCTAATCCAACCCTCTTCAACCAAGCAGGGGAAAAAAGCACAGTCAAAGCCCTCCTGGATGGCCATACAGCCTCTGTATAAAACCCCCCAGAGAGGTTTGATCACAACTTGGGTGGAGTGCTACTACTGTTCAATTGTTGGTATGGTTATAACTTTTATAATTTGCACAATTTGTTGATAAAGTGGCAGTGATTACTGCTGAAACTGGTACGCTTCTTACTAAGAAAAAATGAGTTGACAATTATGTTCGTGGCGAACCACATGGAGTGGCTAGAGAGGAAACTACATAAGAAGCCACTGTAGTAAGGGAAGTGTAATGGAAAAGAATCAAATTTGTTTATACAGTAAATATTATATGGAACGTACATGTGTGTGTATATATATACACACATACACACACACTTTTATATGTATGTACAGGCAGTTCCCAAGTTTTGAACAAGATAGGTTCTGCAGGTTCTTAAGCTGAATTTATATGTAAGTCAGAATAGGTACATTGTCCAAGCATAACTCTGGAAAGAAAGAAAGAAAGAAAGAAAGAAAGAAAGAAAGACAGGGAGGGAAGGAAGAAAGGAAGGAAGGAAGGAAGGAAGGAAGGAAGGAGGGAAGGAAGGAAGGAAGGAAGGAAGGAAAGAAGCCAGGTTAGAGTCAGAGTAGGAAGGTAGGTAGGTAGGTATTAGGGAGTCAGGTTAGATCTGAAGGAAGGGCTGTATTAGGGAGCCGGATTGCAGCCAAAGGAAGGAAGGAAGGAAGGAAGGAAGGAAGGAAGGAAGGAAGGAAGAGAAAGTATAAAGTAA